TATATATATATGAGGGCTCAGATTGCTCCCCACCAGCGGGGAGAAGACTGTCAGCCCCAGCACAAATACTGTGCGGTCATTAGGAAGCTAGCACATCCGCCATCGCCGCCTTGGCATCGAAGGGCCCGTCGCCTTCGATCAAAAAGCCGCGTTCTATTAGCGGCAGGGCGAACACTGACTAAGCGACAGGGTTTGTCCCTTTTGTCGCACCACGCTTCGGCTCCACAGCTGAAGCAGAAGGTCAGGAACCACATGGGCAAGCAGAATCGGCCATGGCGTGCTTCTTCGGACACTACCTCCAAGTACTGGGAATACTGGCGTGGAACCTGGTCGCCCAGGCAGGCAAAGAACCAAGGGCAGTATACGGCCTCCTTCCCAGCGTACGATGCCATCCAGCCGGATGCTGTTGGTATCACAGAAGTCTGGGAGGCGAGGCAACCCCCACCTTCAACCTCCTCGGGCACCTCGCTGGTACAGCTGGTGCAAGCGGCTGTCAACCAGACAAGGAAGCTCGATGCCCGAGCTCTCCGATTGGAGAAGGCCCTCCAAACGAAACAGCAATGCTGGAACAAATACGTCTCGGATATGAGACAGAGCTATCGGAAGGAACGAGAACGTCACTTACAGCACTGCCAGAAAATCGAGGAGGAGCTCAAGGAGGCAATGGCCCAGCAAGCTACAGCTCACAAGCAGCTCAGTGTATTCATGCCGCAGCTCCAGCAGCCCACTCCTGGACAGGACGACGGATGGAGTGCTGCTATCGGGGACGAGGAAATGGCCCCAGCTCTCCGGAATCCCCTGCAAGAGCTGGGACAGATACTAGCGGCTGCAGGACATGCTGGAGGTTTTCCAATGGGCGGAGGCGATTCTGTGCGAACAGCGGGGTTTGCTGCACCACCGACACCGCCGGGCCCTGCTCCAGTTACTCCCCCTCACAGGCCGCAATTCGGACCTCTCGACACGCCGCCTTCTGGCCCTGCCGCGGCCAGGGACCCATATATCCTCTCCCCGGCTTCCACAACCTTAACCGGTGGTGGCGCAAGGCCACCAGCAGCGGAGACGGTCGAGACCAAGGGCCACCCTTCACCCCCTACGGCGACTGGTCAGCGACCACATCGAGCCTCTCGACGACATCCTTCGCAAGAAGCTCCCCGCAAGGGTATCAAAGAGGCTTCCAAGTCTCCCAGTCCTATCACAAATCCGAAAGGGAGCAGTCTGGGCGACAAGCTCCTGGAGCGGCGCAAGAAAGAGCTGGAAGCCAGGCACACGGAGCCCCCGCAATCACTCCCACCGGAGGCTGCTGCAACTCTCACGGGTGGTGGAAGTGCGAAAGTTGCCGCACAGGCACCGTTATTCGTGGAGGACGACGACGAAGAGCTGGAGGAAGCAGATCTCTTTGCCTCCGACGGCGAGCTCAAGACGATGGAGTGAATATTCGGTGCAGGCATCGAGTCGAGGAGATTGGCCGGGCTCTTTGTAAGTGCCTAGAGGAGCCGTCCTTCCCAAAGTGGTCTCTGCTGTTGGAGCAGCATGCCCTTTGTCCTGGACAGATCTCCCCTGGGCAAACTTCCTCGAGCCAAGTGCTTCTTTCCGCGAAGTTGTTGCCTGCATTTTCCCTCATCCTGTACAGCTGTACAGCCGATGTTGAATGCATTGAGGTAGCACTGTATGGGCGCAGTGAGCCAGGCATCCCATTGGGCTCGTGGAATGCTGGTTCACGTTTTTCCCTTTCTGAAGAGGGACAGGAGCCGCCTTGGTTTCTGGCGGTACACTGTTCCCAATTTTATCAAGGAAAGTGGTCTCTGCTGGCTCTTGGTGGGGCAGTTTCCCAGCACTACCCACCTTTCTGCTTAGGCATAAGCCCCCCTTTTTCCCTGTGGATAGCATGGTGTGTGCAAAAGAGTCGGATCGGTTGCTCTGGGCCGGCCACCGCCTCTGCTTCCACTTACTCAGGAGGCCACTGCCTGCATCAAAGCTCTGGTTCTTTCTTTTCGTGGAGCTCCTCACGGCTTGGCCACTGGGTTTGTGGACCAGCCCGTGGGGTTACTCCCTTGTCCTCGCGGAAGGACCAGTCTCTCTGTCTTTGTGAGGCTGAGTCCTTTCCCGTGCCGTCTTTCGCCCCATCCTTGGGGCTTTCTGCATTTTCGTCTCGATGTAAACACTATAGTTTGCCATCTGGGCCCATGCCTTTAGGCAGCTCGGATTCTGCTTTTTCAGATATCTCCTGTGCGCGCAACACATGTATCGGTCGCTCTGGGACATGGGCCAGGAGTTCGTACTTTTCCATTGAGAGTCGGATGCGTCGAGATGAGGACACTACAATAGCCTACGATGTTGGTTTTCTTTTGCAGCTAGCCTCTCATCTTGTTCCCTTGACGAGAGGCCTGATGTGTCTGGTGTTCCTGGGCTTATGCCGCATGATTGTGCGTCCTCTCCCCGGTCGCTATACGCCACTCGGTCGCATACTTTTTGTAACGACTAGTGGAGCACCGAAGACAGTATTCCGTGCGTTTGCTGTATGCAGCCCTGCTTGTTGTGCCATTGCTGCTTTCCCGGCTGCCACGGGAGCTGGCCGGCCATTGAGGTCCGGCAGACATACCGGTCGGCAATGTAGGTCTTGGATAGGAGGCCCCCTTTTAGGGTTTCTCCTTAACGCACTCACCCTGCCTGTCTTAGTCCGTGGCGGCTCTGACGATGCTACTATGCTGCAGCATATACATGACGCCGCTGTAAACATGCAGCCTGAAGAGCTTCCCAGCGGGTCAGTTGCACCTGCTCTGCCGTCTGTGGAGTCTGTACCCTTCCACCCAGACCGACCTGGGACTCGGGCTCGTGAGCCCATACAACTGGCAGTAGCTAGATGCCAAGATGAGTCGCATCTAGAGGCGTATGGAGAGCCACTGGACCCTCCCGTCCTTCGAATCTGTGTACTTATCCCGGGTCGGCAGAACATAGTGCTCCGGCTCCCCTCTGCCGAAGGAGGTGCTCCCTGTGTTATTATGCAGGCAAAGCGTCAAGTGAGCTGTGATCTAGTCCCCATTACTCACCAAGCGATAGCTGGAGTGTTAACTCTGGTTGCTGTCCCGAAGTGGGTTAAAGTGTCCCTTCGCTCAGTGGTAGTGTTTGACCTCACTGCGATAGGAGGACCATTGTTTTCTGATCTTGTGTGGCAGCTTGTTTATCGAAGTGAAGTTGAGGCCCTCGCTGCCCCGTACCACTCCGCCAGAATCAATGTATACACGCAGAACTGCCCTGTTGGATGGGCCTCGGGCACTCCTTATAAGCTCCTGTCTGGACAGGTTATCCAGGTCCAGAGTGCCGATACGAGGCCTCAATGGAGGAGCCTGCCAGATGACTCGTTGTGGCCGCTTTGGACTAGATATGAGCCCCCGATCCCGGCCCCTGATTCCTGCGGTCGCTGGCTAATTGCGCGTGAGGATGGGGCGAGCCTCCTCCTCGGTCCTTGTTGTGACACGGCCACCCTATACCAGGCAATAGCTGACCAAATTGGATGTGACGTGTCACAGCTCTGTTTTCAGCAAGACCCCCATGGCCTTGCTCAGGGCAACTTTACCTTTGCCGGTAAAAAGGTTCAAGGTATTGTGGCCGTGGCAACCAGAGGCACAGGACCTGTGGAAGCTAGCTTTACTTTTGTCGATGCGAGAAGAGTTGGTAGGGGGATCAGGGCCTTTCTGCGTAATGTCTGGGTCGAGGCCTCCTCCATCCTTCGTTGCGTAGACCCCAAAGTCCCACCTGGATACTCTGTGTCGCTCTACACGCAAGCATGCTCAGCGAATGAGACAACTGTGCCTCCTTGGGATTGGCAGGAAGTTTGCTTCAGGGCTGACAACGATAATCAGCTCGAAGACGCTAGTCCTCAGCCTGCGACTGTCTCAGCGGAGGCCACCACCCAAGTTGTTGCACCTACGGCAGCCTCAGGTGCAGCAGCTAGCGATGCCAGCCCAATAGGTATATATGCTGCAATAGCCAATGGCCCACTTGACCCGGCACACCTGCCTGTTGAGCGTGCTACTGATGCTGCCCCAGCCGAAGGCATTTGGTTTCTCCTTTTTGCACCTGATCGGAGACCAGAAACCATATGGATCGCGGCGCAACCGCCTTACACTTGGGATGAGGCGTCTGCTGCAATCTCTGATGCCAGAGACCCCTTGTGCAAGACTCTATATGAGTACGTGTGTCAAGTGCACCCTCAACCGAGTGCCGAGTTCGCCAGCCTAATTTGTCTCCCCAAATGGGCGCAACATCGTACAGCCGTGTTGCTTGATAGCCGTTCTTTTGATGGTCGCCTGTACTGCCTGATCATTGACCCTTGGATACAGTGGATGTCCTTCCTTTTGTACACTGGTTTACCCGATGTTGACACCCTCGTTGTCGTCGTCAATGGCGTTGTTCGAACCCGGGGCAGGCCGCTTGTACTAAAGCAAGGTGATCTGATACAGGCCTTGGAGTACGGCGCATCTATCCCTCCCCTCCTCGACCTAGGTGACTTGATGTTTGTAGGAGACCGGTGGGAGGCTGATCCTCCCCTAGCCTTCTCCTCCTCTTTTTCCCACTTCTGGGTTCTGCATGAGGGGGGCGCAAGAGGCATCGATGTAGATTACCATGCCATAGATAACGCTTACGGCTTTCAAGAGTTTGCCGCTGATGCGCTGCAGTTTGCGCAGCACCGCACCTCCCTCAAGACAGCCTCCCCGCGCATCGGCGATGCCATGTACAAGGGTATCCTTTGCCGAGCTGTTGTGCTTGTAACTGAGTGCTTACCCACGCTCCCTGTCCCGCCTGCAAGGGTAACTGTGCCGCTAACTGTTGTGTTCCTTGACATGCGGCCGGTTTTGCGAGGATTTGAATGGCGTATCCTCGCGAGAGGCGAAACAGCCCTTGATGTTTTTACGCAGGGCCTTCATCTTGAGCCCCCGACGGGCCACCATATCCTTGTTCAAGGAGGAAGCCGTGCAGTCCGCAAAGGTGTGACGTTTCTACAAGCAGAGGATAGGACTGTGCTCACTATTTCATATGTTGAGCAAAATGAAGTTCGGCCCGTTGAGGAATCCGGTGCTGACGATGACAGCTCTGGCCCCAGCACCGACTCAGGTTCAGACAATGATGGTGGCGATCCTGACCGTACGGCTCGGAGCATCCATGATGCCCCCAGAAGCCGATCACCGCGTACCAGCCGGACCAAGCATAGAAACAGAGGTAATCGCACAGGCACGGACTCTGCGGCTGCTCCCTCCGTCGCAGCTGTTGCAAAGCTAGAAGCCGTGATGCAGCTGCCGATAACCGTCTATGCTGAGAACCACGAGACCCTGTGCAGTGGTCCCTCCGGCGTCGGCTTGAGATGCTCACATACCCCTCCCGGTGACACCCATAAGATAGGCCAGGTTTGTGAACTTCAGGGAGTCGCTTGTAAAATCCTCACCGAGCCGTCCCACAACTCCTTGCACAGCGAACGCACCATTGCGTACCTCCGCTATGTTGCTCCGCGCTTGGGTTTTCCTTGGCGCTACATGACGCCTGCCAACGCCATGTTCATCGAGGATGGTAGTGAATCGGACTCTGATATAGATACCATACCCTCACCGCCACTTCGAGTTGGCTTCCGTATCCTGGTCCCAGGTTATGTCGCTGAGAAGGTCGAGGTTAGCCTAGTCTTCCCGACCACACTGCCTGAAGTCGTTTCCATTGTTCAGGCTGCTCGATGCAGATCTCGTGCCCAAAACTTCCCGCGGCTCGTACCTGCGAGCCCTCAGCCTCTTGTTGGGGATGGTGTTTTTCTAGCTTGCCCATCATGGTCCATTGAGATAGCAACCTCACGAACACAGGTCTGCATCGACTGTTCCGAGCTTGATGGCAGAGTTTACTCAGCCCTTCTACCACAATATGTTTGTGGTGCAAATATCCCTGAGCTTGTTAACCTGCCCAGTAACCTGGAATACTCAGTTTTTGCGGGACCTTATGGCGACCTATTACAGTGGGATAGTCAATGCCACCTTGCTGTTGGGGACACCATTTTCATCCGGCCTGAGGACTCACCGCCCCCGACTGTGGTCCCTTTACAAGTTGCATTGCTAGGAAGGCAACATTGGGGCCGGAACCCCAGCATGCCAGAACCAAAGTCCCATGGTATTTGCTGTACTGTTTTTGGGGCTGATAACATCCTGCACATGAATGTCAGGGAACAGCGCGTTAATTTCAGGACGCAACTGGCTAATGCCCTTGGCGTATCCCAGTGCTCCATGCGCATCATCTCGTCGTGCCCTCGAGTGCTTGATGCGGCGATAGATGGATTCCCCTGCCGTTCAGTGATTTTAGTACAAGAGGGTACACCTCTCGGCAGCCCTAACCTGCACTGGGTACTCTTGGATGCCCGGGCACTTTTCTTGGGATGGCGAAGCCTCCCAGCACCTCGTGGGCAGCTTTCCTGCCGTAACACTGTTGATGACCTACTGCGGGAAGTTGGTTCGGGATGGCGGCTCTGGCTTAAGGACGTCCCTTTCAGTGCTGATATTCTCGATACGCGTGAGGGGCAAGTTTTTGCCGTTGAAGTCATCCATGAGCGAATCCTTCCACCTCAAGACGGTTCTGGAGCAGCAAACGATGTGATGGCAGCCCCTGTCACTGCAGCCTCCAATCGCCCCGCCGAAGACTCCCATACAGGTTCGGATGTTGCTCCCAGTAGGGGAGCGTCCTCTGGACAACATCCAGCTGATAACAACGGATCCGCGAACAGCGTGCGCAGTACCGACCAACGCACCACGCGGCCGGACAGCCGAGATGCGGAGGTGCCCAGTTCAGATGATAGCCCAGCCTATGCGGAAGTGCCATTTCTGCTTTTGAAGCAGAACTACGACCATGAGTGGGTCACTGTCCGACTGCCCCTTGGGGTCGAGGTGCGTGATGCGTTAAACGCTGCCGCAGCAGCTAGACCCCCTGCCACTGCTGCTCGCGCACCAGTTCTGTGTGCGGTACATCCGCAGCCTTCTAACAGCTTTGCGCTTTCAGTGTGCCTCCCTGACTGGAGGTATCCCGGCGCTATTATAGCTATAGACAGCCGGGCTTCCAATGGTAGGCTGTTTGCGATACAGGTGATAGGACACTGTTATCGGCACGATTTTCTGAAGCTAGCTGGGCTCCCCGACACAGATGAACACGAAGTCTACTTCAGGGACCTCCCATGGCCTCTGCCTGCAGATAGTCCTGTCAGCCCAGGTAATGGTGACCTGATTTTGATTCAGTCGCGACAAGCTCCGCACCATGCTGTCAGCAGTCTAGCCGATATGCTCCAGTCTGCTGAGGGCTGGACCACCAGTCCAATCATCCTAGACAATCAGTCTGACATTGCCTGGGTTCTTGGCCCTACAGGCCCAACAGCCCTCCAGGTGCCGCGACACCGACAACATCAAGCCAGGCATGTCATTGCTGATCATGTCGGAATACGTCATCGAGACCTAGCTCTTTCTACGGCCTTTGGCGGCATATCTGACTTTGCTAGCCTTGGTGTCTTAGTACGCAATGTGGTAGTGGCTAGATCCCTGGCCGTTCGGGATGGTGAAGCGCCTGTTATAGCTCCAGTGTGTATCCTCGATCTTCGGCCGATTTTATTAGGCTTTGATTGGGTCGTATGCCCATCTGGCATACTGATACCGGAACGCATTGTTGCAAGGTTCGCCCACAGATGCCCGCCCGGTTACTGCACTGTTCGGATCCTCCGAGATGTTTACTACAGCAGCTTCCAGGACCCGTTCCTAGTTCAGGATGGTGATGTCGTCACCCTCGCTTTCAAAAAGACAGACACTGAGGCTGATGATGTTGGGACAAGCCCGCCGAGTGACCCGCGTGGACCGGATAATAGGAGAAGGGAGGGGGATCATCAGGGCGATGCGCATGGCCGGCGTGACCGCATTGACAGCCCATCGCAACCCTCCACTGCATATCTCTCCTCGCACAGTCCAGCTAATAATGCCCCAACCCCAGCCCGTGCAGTGTGCAGAAGCCATGGGTCCAGGGCAGTCCCTATGGGCTTGCATTGCCCTGGGTGGATAGGGTCCCATCTTAGGAAACGATGGCTTGCCTGCACCAACAATAGGGTTGCCTCTTTTGCACTGCTAGGTAGCTCCTGCCGCCACCAGCGCGCCCCGAGAAGGCAGGTGGCACGTGCACCTGTCCTACGCCGTGCAGCTAGACACGATGATCGTGCCCTTAGGGCGGGTCTGCGTTACTTAACAATCAGGGACTTTGCTGTCTTTTGTGCTCTTCTTCTGTACTTACCGTTTAAGTCCCTGCCAGGCCTAAAAGCGTATATGCCTACCTCTGGTGGGCCCTATGCAGGGCGGCCTTACGGCACGGCCCGCCGTGGCTACGGGGGCGCATCTGCTCCAGTTTACGCTGCCCTTGTATTTGTGTGCGTTGCACACAATATCAGTGGTGCTTATGGCATGCAACGCCACAGCTGTGTGACTAACCTCCAGAGCGACTCCACGACAGTCCGACGTAGCATCCCCACGCCTGTGAGGGCCAGGATTGCTGAGCTAGAGATAACCCCTGCATCCACTGATCTCGGACTTGACAACCGTCTGCAACCCCCTTCACGTGTTCCGAGTCGGTCAACTGCCTCCGGCACAGATGCTCATCCGGGTCCTTGTTGTCATGGCAACTCTTGCCTGCAAGAGCCAATATCCAACTTTGCTCCTACCCTGCAATCTAACGAGCCGTTGGTAACACTTCTGGAGGATAGTGTTGCCTCCCATGGTTCCCAAGCCTTCTTTCTAGCAGCGACCCTCTTGGAGACGATTTTTGAGCACTTTGCTGCTGGCATTTTTTCCCCGCCCCTGGCGGACCAGACGAAGCAGCTTCGCTTGCAGGAGCACGTGCCACCGCCGTCTTTCAACTTGGATGTAGATCGAGTTCTGCTGCCACATTCCAAGTCCTTGCTCAGCCGCCTGGTGCAACCATGGCCCTCCAACTGGCTACTGCCCAGTGATTGGGCCCGGGAAGATCTGCCTTCTACAACCCAGGATCAGCTCAAAGACACGGTCCCGTGGAAGCACTTCCTTAGCACTGCCCCGAGCGCAGAGCTTACCTTCACCCTTTTTACAGATGGATCAGCGACTGCTGCTGACAATGTCAGCGAGTATTCTGCCATCATACTTGCACATACAAGTACTTTCACCTCACTTTTGGGGGTACTAGGTGGAGGTATATTAGGCTGCACGGCCTCACCTTGGGTGGTTGATTGCCCTGCAGCACTGCATGCAGAACACGTAGCGCTCGCTGTTGCCCTTCTCTGGAGTCTGCAGATGACAGGTGTAATGCAGTGTGTTGAATGTCAACTATGTTTCGACTGTACTGCAGCAGGTTGGTCTGCTGAGGGCTCCTGGCAGACTCTCAGTAGCACAGGGGCCCTTGTTCACCACCTAGATATGGTGGCAAGAGCTACTCCGGGCCTCAAACTTACATATGAGCATGTTAAGGGTCACTCCAACCACCCTTGGAATGACCTCGCAGACTTCGTCGCAAAACTGGCGTCTCGCGGACACATATGGTCTGAACCACCATCGGATCTGTGTGCTGCTCTACATGCACAGGATATCTCATGGCTCGCGGTGGAGCAGGACGCCAGGATGCATCACGCTATCCCCATCTATGATGGGGCCCTTTATGTAGAGCCACCGTATGCAAGCGCGGAACCGCTTCGACCAGAGAACCTAGTCCCGGTAATTGGTGGTGAATGTGAGCAAGCTGTAGCTCCAGGACAATGCTGCTGGACCCAACTTGCCACAATCAATGTGCAGAGTTTGCGGGGTAAATGCAAGTACATTGAGGAACAGCTGCACTATCGAGCTGTAAATGTTGCATGCCTTCAGGAAACAAAGCTTGACGGCGGTACGATCACCTCACAACATTACCTCCGGTTACATTCGTGCGCGGACTCACACTGGGGTGTAGCGGTTTGGGTGCACAAGCAGCTGGGGGTATTATGCATAGACGATGGGCCCCTTCATGTAGATGAACATGATGTAGCTGTCCTCCATGAAAGCCCTCGACTGCTGGTCTTGCTCATCACTAAGGGCCAGCTCAAGATCGGCATTCTAAGCGGCCACTGCCCACACTCCCATAGGCCGGAAGAACGTGATGCCTTCCTGACCAGTATTGCACTGCCTCTCCGGCGCTTGAAGCATGCACACCTCATCCTGGGAGGCATTGACCTCAATGGCCGTATTCCACCAAACTTTCAGGGTGTCAGCGGATCCTTGGAATTTGGCGAAGCGGATGCCACAGGTTGGAAATTCGCTAGTCTCCTAGCAGACAATGGTATCTGGGTACCGTCCCTGTATACACAATTGCATTGTGGTGAGTCTGCCACATATACCCACCCCAGTGGTAAACAGCACCGCATTGACTACACCTTGGTAGGTGGGCAGGCTGTTCTCGAAAAAGTCAGGTCTGAGGTTGATAGTACCTTCGATAATGGCAGCCCACAGGAAGACCATATGCTCCTTGGCCTGAGCCTGCAAGGACATCTAGATGCTAATGGTCACACCCGAAAACTTCGTCGAGTGCGATATGACCGGGATAGGATTATGACAGATGAAGGCAAAGCGTGCCTCCGTCAGCTGCTTCCCTCGTTCCGACACCCTAATTGGGATGTCGCCCCGGATCAGCACTGCCGAGCGATAGAGCAGCACCTCAGTCAGGTTCTTGAATCGCATTTTCCTGCTCCGAGGACTCGGAAGCGAGCCTCCTATATCCCGGAGCGGGTATGGTCCCTCCGCACACAGAAGCTGGGCTTCAAGCGGCGAGTTCGCCACCGCTCACAACTGTGGAGAGACCTGACCTGCCGAGCCTTTCTCCAGTGGAAGGAGCAACAGGATTATGGGGTGCTTGCCCTGCTTGGAAAGCAGTGTAGGCTGTATGAACTTGCAGCTGCGGCCGTGAAGTTTGCCACGAGAGTAATCAAAAAAGAAATCCTCGTGGCCAAAAGCGCTTTTCTCCATCAAATTGCAGGTGAGGGACATCAAGGCGCGGCGAAAATCCTCCAGAGAGTCAAACAGGCTGGCGTAGGGGGAAGTAAGTCGCGCCCTGTGTCACGTCCGCTCCCTTTGCTCATGCACCCATCTGATGGCTCCACCGTCACTACCAGAAAGCAGCGCGATGAAGTCTGGATGCTCCACTTTGGAAAGCAGGAGCAAGGCCAAGCTATCGCTATACATACCTTTTTAAAGGAGGCTGAGTATAGTTGCTATCAACCGGACCTTGAGTGGACTGCTGATATGCTCCCCACATATGCTGATGTCGAAAAGGTCCTACGGCTGATCCCCCGAAATAAAGCCGCGGGCCTAGACAACATCCCTGGTGAGGTGCTGAAGGCAGTGCCGGCCGAAGCGGCGCGCCTCCTGCTCCCGCTTTTCTTAAAGTCTATGGTGCTCCAACACCAACCGATACAGTGGAGAGGAGGTGTCTTATTTGAAGCCTTCAAGCGATCCGGTTTGCAAAGCTCGGTCGATAATTACCGTAGCTTGTTTGTCTCCAGCTACTTGGCCAAGGCATATCACAGAGTTGTCCGCGATAAAACTCAAGCTCTCAGTCGTGATGAAATGCATGCACTGCACCTTGGGTCAAAAAAGCGAGCCCCGGTGACCTTTGCCTCGATGTATGTGCTCGCGCACTTGCGTCGTGGTGGTGCTCGCCATCGTGTACTTAGATACGTCCGCTGCGTACTATAGGATCGTCCGGGAACTCGCCGTTGGAGACATCCGCGCTGACTGTACGGTGGTCCGTCTCTTCGAGCGCTTTGGTCTAACGGGCGAAGACCTACACGACCTCCTAACCACAGTTGAGTCAGGAGGCATGCTCGCCCAAGCGGGCGCGCCGGATGCGCTGCGACAAGTTGTGAAGGATATTCACCTTCATACCTGGTTTGTCTCGAGATTTTCGGACGGCACGCAGGTTTGTAGTAGTTTGGCGGGCAGCCGCCCAGGTGAGAGTTGGGCCGATCCCATCTATGCCTACATCTATGGCCGTGTGCTCTCCAAAATTCATGAATACGCTGTTGCAGAAGACCTTACCTTCCAGGTCTCATATGACCCCACCTCTGGAGTATTCCCGACCGGGGACGGTGTAGATTCGGTCCCTGCCACTGATGCGACGTGGGCGGATGACTCTGCCTTTCCGCTCATTGCCGATAATCCAGAAGGTTTGATGCGGAAAACCCAGAGATTGTGCACTTTGGTTATCAGCTTCTGTGAGGGCCACGGAATGGCTCCCAATCTGAAGCCTGGTAAGACCAGTGTAATGATAAGTCTGCGAGGAAAAGGTCATAAGAAGGTTAGGCAGGCCTTTTTCCCCCAGGGAACACAGCAGCTCTTGCTGCCAGACCTAGGAGTGAGCATAGTGGTTACGGATCACTATAAGCATCTGGGCGGTTTTGTTGACTGCAAACTTGCCATGCGACATGAAGTTCGACACCGCCTGGCGCAAGCATCCAGCTCCTATGACTCGGCGAAGACTCTTCTTCTTGGAAGCTCCAAGCTTGCACTTGCCACTCGAGCAGCATTGTTCGAATCTGCAGTGACCCCGACCTTTTTTAATATTGGTCTTTGGGTACCGAAGGGACAGGCCTGGGACTCCCTCTGCAATGGATATTCCAAACTAGTTAGACGGTTGTTAGTGCCCAACGTTGGGGCGCACCGAGCCTTCCATGTGCCCCTTCCGGTTGCGCACTGGTTTACAGGCTGCTGGCGGCTGGAGTTGGTAGCTCGGCGAGCTAGGCTCAGTTTGCTCGTCTCGTTGGTACAGGCAGGACCACCCTTACTCTGGGCCATGCTCCAGGAGGAGACCACATGGCTGGAGGCGATACGGGAAGATTTAAGGTGGCTAGTCCAGGGTGACGAGGAGCACTGGCCCATCCTGGCTGCACCAGCCTGGCCTGCGTGGCACCACTTACTAGCTAAGTCGCCACAGGCCTTCCGCAGACGAGTGAGAAGGCGACTGCACCAGACCCACCAGGAACATGTTGAGGCGGACACGACCTTGATATGTCTGTGGCATTGCTATCGCACGACGCTGAGTAGTCGAGCTGAACTGTCGCCCACTGCGCAATGGGTATGCTACCCATGCCGTCGCTCATTTGGTAGTAAAGCTGGTTTGAGTGTACATTTCTTCAAAAAGCATGGAAGGGTTGCTGCTTATCGACATGTAGCGACGGGCACAACCTGTGCCGCATGTGATACGTCCTTCTGGACGGCGGGGCGTCTGGCTGCACATTTGCGTACCAGCCCTGGATGTGTGGCTCTCTTGGAAAGCAGTGGTCAACGAGTTGCGACCTTGGCCCCTGGCTTTGGAAGCAAGAAGCGGCGACAAGCAGATAGTCTGCACTTTACTCTTTCTCTCCCGGATCGTCGTGGTTGTATCCCTGCACAGCCGAGTGAGCCCACTTGGAGTAAAGAACAAAAGCAGGCACACAACGACTTATGTGATGCTGTTCTTTTGGTCGATAGCAAAGCACTGACCGTCGACATCGCTTCCACAGTTTCTGGAGTGCTGTTTGCGGGCCCGCTGTATCAGGAAGAGCTCAGGTTGATTTTGGACCGTCTTGAGTCAGATGTTGTGGACTTGCACCATGACGACCCACACGATCCTTGGGACCCGCCCACTGCACAGCGTATCCTCAGTGCCCTTGACCAAGTAAAGGCTAGTCTTCGGACACACTGCCTCTCTGAACCTCAGAGCATCCCAGAGTGTCACTCGCTGAGAGACTTCCAACAGCTTGTGACAAGTTTTGAGTGGCCTGCTGCCACTGCCGCCTCGAGCTCAGTAAACGGGACCCTTTCCCCTTTGACCTTTTCAGTGCCGCTCTGCTGGGAAGCTGAATGGCGCCGGCACTGCGGTCAGGTGGAAATTTCAGCCGTGGCTGACGATTATGGGGTGCTTCTCCCGGGGCCGCTCCGCCAGGCATGGCACCACATTGTTGGTGGATGTACAGCAGTTCTACATGCCCCTCCGGAGTTCTGGTCCCACCCCTTGGCTGCGCCGTTTAGATGCGCACAACCTCTGCATGCTTCCCCTAATTAGGCTGCGAACACCGCTGAACGCACGCAAATCCCGCAAAAATATATATATGACCCTAAGGCTCCATGTACCTACCCGTAGGCTCCTTAGTAGTTCCTTTTGGGATTACCTTATAGGATTCTACATATGAACCATAAAAAGGAACTACTTCGGAGCCTATGCGTATAAAGAGATAGGAGCCTGCACGCAAAGACCACCCCGAAAGGAAGCCTACCACTAGAAACCCCCCCCAAGCCCATCCATAAACCACATAGATCAAACCATCTCGGATCACAGAAAACCCATTCCGAAACCGATTATGTCCCTATGTTGAAACCATTGTAAGATGCCCGCCACCCCCCGTCCCTTCAAACGCGAGTTTCCTGCACATCCGGCAGAAGATGGCGTCTGGTGCAAACATATTGCCACAGGTCGGGCACACCTCCAGGAAAATTGCCCTTTCAACAGAACAATCTCCGGAGGGTTCATAGTTTGTAGGGCTAATACCCGGACGCTAGAGAAACCATTCTATGCTGGTTAACACGTGCACCTTCTGTGTATGAATCCTCGTCGGCACAAATGATAGGCCGTCGGCTAGGGACGGCTTCTTCATGACGTTTAACCGTTTAGGGCTTTAGAGTTTTTAGGGCTTAGCCTAAACCCTGAACCCTACACCCTACACCCCCTGAACCCTAAACCCTGAGCCCTAAAACCCTAAACCCAAACCCCTGATAGGGTGAAGGGTTTAAGGGTTTCGGGTTCAGTGACTGCTGGGGACTCCATGGTTGGACCGATAAGCTGGTCCATCGGAGCAGAACTGCTTTGGTTTACGGTTTAGGGTTTAGGGCTTTCCTTGCTTTTTAGGGTTTCGGGTCTAGGGTTTTGTAGGGTTTAGGGTTTAGGGTCTTTTAGGGTTTAGGGTTTAGGGATTTTTAGGGTGTAGGGTTTAGGGGTTTGGCAGGTGAACACCTGATGGACCCTTAAACCCCTTATCACATGGGACTAGAAGAGGGTTTGGGGACTTAAATTCCGGCGTAGACATGCCCCCCTGAAACCCTAAACCCTAAACCCTAAACCCTGAGTATTGGAACTGTCATCCTGCCGACCCACACCCTGAACCTCAAACACTGAAGCACAAACCCTAATGTAGGGGCCTTCATGATTCCAATAGCGTTCCTTTAAAGGGATCCGAAAA